TCTGAAAGGGTGGAAAGACAAGTATGCAAGCCAAATTATAATTGTCATACGAAATTTTCTCCTAGCATATTATCAATAACATCACAGTCGATTAACAAAAAAAAATAAAGAATTTTATAAATCACAAGTTAACTCACGTACCTTTGAAAAATATCCAACTACATGTTCTTCACTGCGGTCATCGATCTCGGTCAAAATATAGAATAGAAATGATTCGACGTCGTAATATATCGTTTTATGATCAAGAAAGAGCTTTGCCAGTAGGCAAAAATTTTGACAGTAAAGCTAGACGAAAGAGTAACGTTTAGGTTCATCATTGCCTGTGCGTTCCGAAACTTTAAGAAATTTATTCACCTTGTGTGATCTTCCATCCACCTCATAAATTCGGTTCCTACCCATCTCGTATATCTTGACACCTGGTGGATGCTTCCATTCGCACAAAGACTATTTCAAAAGAATTTCATTAAGATGCGGAATGATAAGATTACTCCGAGATACAGTTACCTACACACTATTTTATAATCACTGACCGTGTGCCGGCCGTATGTTTCCTTCACCTTCATGTATTTCATGCAATGCTGACATACGTATATCTTCCGGACATTCTTGTATTCGTCAGGGAAAGGTGAATAATACCAGGTCGCTATTTCGTATTTTCCAAATATCACTGCATCGATATTCCTGACTTTTGTGTAGTGAACGTGCTCCATTTCGAGTAAAGCTTGAACCTTGGACGGTCGTTCTTGCGCATGAAGGGAAGAAGATACGTCCTGTTTCTTAAGAAAATGTTTTATTTAAAAATAATAAATAAATAACAATGGCGGCTACAACAAACTATAAGACCGATAGTCTTGGCCGAAATTGTCAATAGGTGTTGAAGAAAGTAAAACCTCGTCGTTTTCCTCTTCTTTGGCACAGCCGGCGAGTTTTCTTTTTTTCGAAATACGAACCGGCCGCGTATATTCGCCTTCTCCCTCACTTTCGGATTTACGTTTTGCCTTGCCGTATTTCGTTTTTGGCGCGGGTGATCCGTTTGCCGAGGATGCTGATTTGTTGGAGTTTGGAAATATTATTTTCTGGTCAATCTTTTCAGGCGATACCCATTCGTCAAGACGGCGGTCAACTATTTTCGTGTAAATATAAGATTCGAGATGTGAACTATCGATAAGATTACTGGAGAGTTTCCTCAGAAACCTAGGAATATGTTTATCTTACATTCTGTATAATGTACATAATATTCCCATTGCGAGGTCTCTTCTTTGTATCTCTTTTCAAGTATTTCGGCTTTGTCTGTTATCAAAGCGGATAAAAAAAACCTTTATTCGTATCTCTTTATTCTATTAGCTTAAATCATTATAATGTTTAAAAGGTATAGCAGCTTCAAGAAGCAAAAGAGAGGTTCGAGACAGTAAAACTCACGATATTCGTTTTTTCTCTGAACAAAGTGAAAAGAACCAATCCCAAAAGGCTCCTTTGATTCCAAATTGTTTGTCATTATCAAGAATGAAAGGTTCAAGTCGCGGAACTGTTCGAAGCGATTCTAATTATGTATAATAATACACTAAACTGCAACTGTGCATTTTCAAATTTTCTACGTCATGATTTATGACAAATGATGCGTGTGACGCGATATCCAAAAATGATCAACATGCCGACGTACACGGATATTTGCAAAAGTCAACTTTGCAACTAATTGTGTTACAATTAAATAGTAGATAATGATCATGATCACGATAAGAACTTACAGAGATTTGGGATTTGAGTGAAGTTAGTAGAAAGTTACTACTTCCTTTTCAAATTTAGATTTCAACAGGAAAGACATTATGCATTCATATATGTTACAAGGTGGCAAACTCACCATCTTCGATTATTTAATTTTCTCTAACAAATTTTGAGAAGTTCATTTACATAAAATTATCACTTTAGATGAAGCAGATGTTTTACCACCACATGTAAGAATCAATTATTTTGTTAGCCCTCGGGGAAGGAAGGATTAAACCGTGAATCCGACTTACAAGAAGTTCAAGATCTCCTCTTCTCAGGCGCTTTCTGTAAATTATTGAATACCATTTTAATCTTTATATATCTGGCCAATTTGCTTTTAAAAAAAAAAAAAAAAAAAAATTGATTACGTACAGCCAAAATGTCGCTGAATTCTTGAAATGGAGACTGTTTGAATTCGACATCTTTCCACAAGTCGGGAGTCAAGAAGGCATACGTGTTACCAATGGCGGCGAAAGTGGCCTTAACAAAATTACCCAAAGTACGAGTGGAACCACGTGATGTAGTGTAACAGTCGGTGATACCTGCGAGTTGCAAAAGTTTTTTGGGAGTGGGAGCAGCTACAATTCCAGTACCACGAGGAGCGGGGACAAGACGGCATATAACGGAACCACATCTGCCGGTGACCTTGGAAGGAACAGTGTGTGGATCACCTAGTGAAGAACCCCAATATCCACGGCGTACGGGAATGACGGAAAGTTTGGCAAGAATGATGGCTCCACGAATAGCAGTAGCGACCTCTTTAGAGCACTTGACTCCAAGACCAACGTGTCCATTAGAATCACCAATTACGACAAAGGCCTACATAATGATTTTAATTAAAACAGTACTTAGATAAACGTTAATATTTGCACGAAATGTATTCATCTAAGTTATCAATGAACCTTGAATCGAGTCCGCTGACCAGCACGGGTCTGCTTCTGAACAGGCATAATCTTCATGACTTCATCTTTAAGTGGCTCTCTAGCGAGTTGGTCTACAATTTGATATTCCTTGATTGGGAGCGAGAATAAATATATTTGTTCAATTGTTTTGATCTTGTTCTCTTTGACCAAACGACCGAGCTTTGTAACGGGAACCCTAAAATTATAAATTTAAATACCCTTAGAAATTTTATCCCAAAGTAACGATGTTTTTGGAGTAATCAATAAAATTTGAAGATTTTGCATGCCAAATTGTAATATTACCATTCTTTATCTTCGTCCTTGCGGGAACCACGGCGAGCTCCGCGACCCCGTCGGCCTCTATCACCGCGACGTCCGAAACCACTACGTCCTGTAATATCCAGTCACAAGAAAAAGATGTTATTGATAAATATTTCAATACGGATCAACCGTCTTAATATAACTGCTTGCAGGCCTCTCCGGGAAGAACTTAAATGTATATGATGATTTTCTAAATCACGACACGTCTCCTCGCGGTCGTGAACTAAGTTTGAAGCTTACCACCACGACTATCGGCCGGTCCTGAGTCAGCCATGTGCTATGGTGAATATTTGGGATTTCAAGACAGTAATATGAGCGTTAGGTACCACTCAAAAAATGTTTATAAAAAAAAAAAAAAAAAATCAAAAAAACGGATAGAGATTGAGACTGAGATAAACGGTCGAATATAGTCTTGATAAGGATGGATACGATTGAAAATAATAAACGTCATTATATAGTAACACAGATGGATTGGATACTCACATAATCTTAATTTTGGATGAATTTTCCTTTGGGTGGAGATTCGAAAGAGGGAGGTTTGATCTTAAAGAGCTCACTTTATATTCTTGGTTACGTCACTCTTTGTTCTACGTCTTACAGATGAGTCATGAACGGAAAAATCCTCTTGATTGGCTGATTTTATGATATAAAAGGAATGTTATATGAAATTTATTTTATAAAAAAATTTTTTTAGAAAAAAATTATTAATTTCCAATTAAGATAAATTTCTTAATAAAAATATATTACTATAAAGCATTTTATTTAATCATATATTTACAATTTTAAATAAATTTAAAATATTTAATTATTATTTAATGTTATATAATAAAATATATTGTTTTAAAATTTTTTTTAATTTTTATAAGTTAACATTTAACTTGTTATTGTACTTGTTTATAAAAAATATTGTTTTTTTTATTAAAGTTTAAAAATAGTAATATATACAGTATGGGACAAAAATAATGGCACTTTTTATTTTTGTTATTATTTAATAAATATTTATTTAAATTAAATAA